GATATGAAGATACTGAGTGCCGCTATTCGCCAATTAAGGCTCTAAACCTACTTTCTATTGGTCGGGCTTTTCATATCGAAGAGAGCTTGGATTTTCTCGGGGTTGATCTCTATTCCCTTTTGATTAACCATGTACCCCAGGAATTTTCCCGAAGACACTCTGAACGAACATTTGAGAAGGTTGAGCTTCATTTTGTATCTGCAGAGGATGTCGAACATCTCAGCGAGATGTGCTATGTGATTTGAAGTGACACGCGATTTGACTAGCATGTCATCAACATAGACTTCCATCAACTTTCCGATCTACTCGAAAAACATCCGGCTAACCAGTCGCTGGTAAGTTACTCCAACATTTTTTAGGCCGAAGGGCATAACCCTATAACAATACAGCCCCCGATCTATAACAAAAAATGTATGCTCGTCATCCGACGCGTACATCAGAATTTGATTATATCTCGAGTAAGCGTCCATAAAACTCAGTAGCTCATGCCCGGAGGTGGCATCAATGAGCTAGTCGATCCTTGGCAGAGCTTTGTTGAGGTTGATGAAGTCAATGCAGGTCCGCCATTTGCCATTGGGCTTCTTTACCAGAATCGGGTTGGCAACACAACTCGGATAGAGCGTTTCCCGAATGGATCCATTTAGAAGGAGATTGTCTACCTTAACCTTCAAGGCAACATATCGCTCCGAATCCATTGCTCTTCTCTTCTGGCGGATTGGCCTGGCCTGGCCTCACTATCGATGTTCAAGGCATGACAAATAACATTTGGGCTGATCCTGACCATGTTGGCATGCGTCCATGCGAACATGTTGATATTTTCTCTAAGGAAGCTGGTCAGGTCGCTGCCGAGCTGGGGATTCAGATTGCTTCCAATCCTCAACACTCGGCTTGGCTCACTTTGGTCGACTGATACTTCAGATAAATCCTCAACTGGCCCACTGGAAGGGCATTTCTGGATACGAGGATCCATATTACCCTCGGTTGGGCCAAGCTGTGGTTCGATCTGATTTATCGCTATTGTCTGTTTGGGAATGACATACAGAGTGCCTTGTCCCCCACACACCATCTGCATTACCTTTACATAGCAATCGCGAGATGCACACTGAGATCGCTCACTTCCCCTATCCCCGTTGGGGTGGGGAACTTCATCTTGAGATGGTAGATCAAGGTGACTGCTTTGAAGTTTCTCAGTAGAGGTCGCCTGAGGATGCCATTGAAAGCGGACGGGCAGTCCACTACTAAGAACTCAGTGATCTTGGTTATCTCATTGGTGTCACCCAACGTGACTAGAAGTGAGATTGTTTAGGTGATCCCCAGTGAAACCATATAGAGGGATGGAAGCAGGCTTCAAGTCAGCCTCATCCAGTTTCATTCTTTCAAAAGCTTACTGGAACAGGATGTTCACGGCACTTCCATTGTCCATCAACATTCTGTGGACATCGCAGTGATGATGAGAGCATTGTCATAGGGATGATGCAATCGTATTGCTTCTTTTTTGGAAAAAGTAATTTCCTCTTCCCTACGAACCTTCGACGATCACGGCGTCGTGTTCATTACACTGTGGGGTCGTGATGGGCTGCATGAGCATACCTTTCTTGGGCACCTCACGAATTCCCTACGAGGTGCTGTCCCCCAATGATAATCCCTACGCTGTAGATACCCTTACGACTATGACGCTTCTTGCCCAGTTCCTCTTGATTCTTCTCCCACACGGGAGCAGAGTCATCAACATACTCTTTAAAATGCCCCTACTTGATGAGGTCTTCGATTGCTTGCTTAAGGGCTCGACACTCATCGGTGTGATGCCCATTATCCCAATGATAGTGATAGTATTTTTTACTGTTTCTAGCTGAGGGGGGATTTTTCATGGGCTCAGGCTCCCCGAGCAGGCCAGCCTCTTCTGACTTATCAAGAATAGCCGAGACTGATGTATTTAGAAGGGTGTGTTGTCACGATCATGATGAAGAACTGCGGCGTACGATTTCTTGGGCTCAAATCACTACTTCTTTCCTTTCTGCTGATCGTCATTAACCCACTTGCGATCAGCCCTCCTATTTTCCCGCCGACGAAGTGCACTGCCCAAAGGGCTGGGGTCATGGCAGCTAAGCACCGCCAGGGAGTTTTCAATGCAGAGGTATTTCTCCATAAGCTGTAGAAGTGGGTGAGGGAAACATCGTCCTCAGATTGCAGCTCTTTCCATAAATCTGTCTGTGGACAAACTCCCACGATGATAAGAGTCCGAACGAACTCTTCAGGAGTGTGAGCTACTTTATGAAACTCCCTGTGGAACCTGTCGATATAAGATTGGAGGGATTCATCCCTCTCTTGCCTTATGTTACTGAGGTAGCTTAGAGGCATTGAGAATTTCCTGTTCGCTTGGAAGTGTCTCAGGAATGGCGAGCTCATCTGGGGCCACAAGCTAACAGATCCTACTGGGAGTGACCTGAACCATCGCTTGGCATGTGAAGTAAGAGTTATTGCCAAGCAACGGCATTTTGCCAAGTCAAAAATTTGGTGGAGTTCCATCAAGTCGTTGAACTCGTATAAATGATCCTACAGATCAGAATTTCTATCGAATGCTTGCATAAAGGGCATTCTGGATCTTGACGGGAGAGGGGCGGCTAACACCACCAGAGAAAAGGGAGACGCTTCTACGACCTGCCCTTCCTCATTTTGCTGGGCCTTTAGCTGATCCAAAGCTTGTTGCAGCTCCTCAATCTGAGGTAACGGAGCTATCTGGGGATCACTTTCTGCAACATAGGTTTGACCCTCACGATTATAGTTGAGGAAAGACCATAGGTCGGATTCCTCTTCGCCTCAGTCGACAATTCCGGCCAATCTTGACACACACTGGCTAGAGTCGTGTGATGGCACTGCATGGTTTAGGGAACCTTTTCGACCTCCGCAGTGGTACGAACTGACCCGCGGATGGTAGGAACTTCCCACACGACGATGATCAGAATTGTAATTTTCACGATAATAGGAATCTCCCCTCCCTGCACTTTTGTGGGAGTGCTCGCACGACGTGGCATGAGATGGCTCAGGTCGCAACATGTCACCGAGCCTTAATGCCACGGGTATTCTACCTGTGGCGCGGTCGGTGTTCGCTAGCCCCTCGGAGCCTTCAGGCCCATTGTGCCCCACCTATTTTCCCTTTCTTCGAAGCGCTGCAGTGCGCGTGGCATGTGCTATTGCCCTTTTTCACGCTTTCATGCGACTTGCAGGCGTTTTTAGCTGTGGCACCACCTCATTAGATTCGGGTGGTACGACCCGATCCAATCAGTCCAGCCTTTGGCTGACTGTTTGGAGAGTATTATTGAACCTCTCCAGGTAGCTCATAACGGCTGGGTCAAGCCGTGAGCTTGAAGAGATATCCCCCACGGTATTTTGCAGGACTGAAGGCACCTCAGGGGAAATGTCCTTTTGTACCTAGGGGATCTCTTCATCACCATGATTGGTTTGCTTAAATTCAAATCGGCGAGCCATTTGCTGTAATGTGACCAATTAGTTAGAGATTCTCCTGATGAAGAACAAGTACTAAACCAGTGCCCTCCTTCTAGCGCCAAACTGTTAATATTTGATTTTGACACCAACTAATCGCACGTGGGAAATGCTGAGCTGACTCAGTGATCACACGTGAATATGGGGGTATTGGATTGAATAAAGGATAAAGAACAATGTTTAAAATGGTTCGGATGCTTAATCAAGCGAATCCTACATCCACTGATATTGTATTAATATGTAGGATCAGGTCGCGTTCAGCGATCTGATTTATAGCTTGGAGGATACAAGAGAATACAAGAGAGAGAGAGAGAGAGAGAGAGAGAGAGAGAGTATGCTATTCTAGAGTGAAATTAGCTAATCCCACAAACGGGAGAGGAGTCCTCTATTTATAGTAGGATGGATTAAGGTAATAATTACTAAATCTGTGAGTGGGTCAGGTTGCCGTACAAATCCTTCTTTGTGTCCCGTTGCTCCCCTGCTCAAGTGATTTCCTCGACTTGTGCAAGGATTGGACACGTGGGTCGTTTCCAGCCTTTCGCCAATCTGGCACACACCCACTGCACTGGCAAGAGCAGGCCGTTTACGTCAGCATACAACGTGGCTGCATCTGAATGGTTGTAGGACCTACCTAAGCTCTGACCGCCTATGCTGACAAGGCCTGGCGTCAGCCCTACTTTTTCAAGCATAACAGTATTCAATTGTACTAGGTGGTTGGTGGGAATAAATAAGTGGGCTAAAATTAATAATTAAAAAGGAAAAGGAAACACTAAAAAAAATAAATGGGACAAGGGAAGAACCATAGTGATTGGGAATAAGCAATTAAGCATATCGTGTTCCCTTTATTGTAGCTTATAGTAAAATTTTGTAGGGGAAAAAGATTATTGCATACGCAAGCTAAGCATCAAAATCACTAAATTATTGATGGGTTGGTTGGGACCATAGTGTAAAATATCATTGATTTTTATTGCCTTATATATATATATATATATATATATATAGCTTCAACTCTAACATTAATTTCAGCAACCATAAATATAATGTTGCCATGTGATAAGGTCCCAACTCTCAACTACATGCTTTAAACATGGAAACTCTAACATTAATTTCAGCAACCATAACTATAATGTTGCCATGTGATAAAGGTCTCTCAACTCCCAACTTCCAACTACATGCTTTAAACATGGAAAGAAGAAGCATTGATTGGCAGATTTTAGTTGTTTTGTTTCTTGTGTCAAGAAATAAACACATTTCACTTAAAAACAAAGCATATTTAAATGTAAGGCCTGCTCTCGAAGAGAAAATTACATTATAATCCTTTATCTTTTGACTTAAAATATCTCATATCTTCAAATAAACAAGGGGTAGAAATCTAAACATCAAACATATATTGGCTTTTCTTATCCAGAAAAGTTTTGACATGAGACTGCTTTCAAAGTTGTCTACACAATTGCCTTCAACTAGCTTATTCTCACTCTCTTCGTTTCTTCTGAGAGAAAATGGCAGAATCAATTCTATTTGACATTGCAACTGAAGTTATGATGAAAATAGGCTATCTTGTGGGTCGAGAATTGTCCTTGTTGTGGAATCTTGAAAGCAGTTTAAAAAGCCTTGCGGGAACCCTAGGCACTATCAGAGTTGTGCTCTCGGGTGCTGAGAAAAAGCAGGCAGAAGATGATCAGCTGTGTGACTGGCTTGGGAAGCTTAAGGATGTTCTCCTTGATGCTGAGGACATTTTAGAAAAATTCTAGTTTCAAGCTCCCGGGAGGGAAGTGGTGAGACAAAACAGGAGCACAATAAGAAAGGTAAGTCGATTCTTTTCAAGCTCTAATCCTATTGTTCTTCGACGTCAAATTAGTCATAAAATCAAGGAGATTAGAGAAAGGCTAGATCAGATTGCAGGTGATAGAAGTAAATTTTCTCTTATTGAGAGTACTCCTGTTGAAGTTAGGCATGAAATTCCAAAGGACAGAGAAACTGATCCTTTCTTGGGGGCTTCTTGTGCTATTGGAAGAGAGGATGATAAAGAAAATATCATGAGCTTTTTAATGCAACCAACCGACATTAATGTCTCGGTCATTCCAATAGTTGGAATAGGGGGTTTGGGTAAAACCACTCTTACTAAAATGGTTTACAATGATGAAAGAGTAAATAAGTTCTTTCCATTAAAGATGTGGACATGCGTGTCAGATGACTTCGATGTCACAAGATTGATGAAAGAAATTATTTATTCTGCAACCAGTGAGGATTGTAATAAGTTAAAAGGAGATAAAATTCCCAAGCGTCTATAGGAAATTTTAACAGGTAAAAAGTTTTTGCTTGTCTTGGATGATGTTGGAATGAGAAGTCGCATAAATGGATTGACTTGAAAGACTTACTGGTGAATGGTGTCAATGGAAGTAAAATTATCGTGAGCACACGAAGTAAAAGAGTTGCAGAAATAATGAGCACTGGTCCCTCATATTTTTTGCAAGGTCTTTCCAATGAGGAATCCTTGTCATTATTTAAGAAGTATGCATTCAAAGATGGAGAAGGGAAAGATTTTCCAAGGCTCATTGACATTGCGAAGGACATTGTAGGAAAATGTAAAGGAGTTCCGTTGGCTGTGAAATCTTTAGGGAGCTTACTTTATGCAAACACGGATGAATGTGAGTGGTTGAAAATAAAACAAAATGACATCTGGCAAGTGGATCAAGATAATGAAGACATCTTACCAGTGTTGAAATTTAGCTATGATCAGTTGCCATCTCCCTTGAAGCGATGTTTTACTTATCTTTGCTTGTTTCCAAAGGATTCCGAGTATCTTAGTTCTTTGGTGGCCTAATATTGGATGGCACTTGGACTTCTTAAAACCTCTAATAAAACTGAAGAGCTATAAGATGTTGCTGATCAGTAATTGAAAGTTTTATGGTCAAGGGGTTTTTTAGAGTGTTTCTTGGATCAGGGTTCTTGTTGGATATTTAAAGTGCATGATCTTTTGCATGATCTCGCAATATCAATGACAAAAGGTGAGTCCGCATTCATAAATTTAGCAAGCCAAAACGTTGATGGGAAATTGCGGCATTTTTCACATACTGACACAAAGTTATGTGGTAAAGAATTTCTAGAACTCATAGTTGATAACTCAAGGAGTGTTCGAAGCATTATCTTTTCAACAACAGAGAACTACGGAGATGCGCCTATTCTTGGATCATTTATTAGTGAAGACATATCCAAATTCAAGTACCTTCGACTACTAATTTTGTCTGGTTTATTTTGTGAAGTGTTGCTAGATAATATCAGTACATTGAGACATTTGAGGTACCTTGATCTATCTGTGAATGATTCATTGAAGATCGTCCCTGAATCTATTTTCGAGCTTCAGAATTTGCAAACGTTAAGATTTTCTTATTGTTCTGAGCTTAAGAAGTTGCCTAATAGCATACGAAAGATGATTTGCCTTAGACACTTGGAAATAACCACACAAGAGGAAGTTCTTCCAGAAAATGGAATTGGATGTTTGAGTTCCCTTCGACAATTGTACTTAATTGGGTGCCACAGTCTACTACATTTGTGTGAAGGGATGCAAGGTCTGAAAAACCTTCGAACCTTGACTCTATATAACAGTTCTGTGATCTCGTTGTCAGATACTATCAAATACCTACCAAAACTAGAGACATTATCTATTATTTGGTGCGCCAAGATTAATTTGAAGATGGAATTGCAAGGAGAAGATCGTGAGCTGAGGCTGAGTCTTAAAAAATTCATAATTGATTTGTCACAATCATTGGTGGATTTGCCCTAGCTTCTTCTTCAAGTATTTGCTGACACTCTAAAGTACATGCGGATTAAAATGTGTGACAACTTAGAAGCACTACCGGAGTGGTTTCAAAATCTCACATCACTTGAAAAACTTGAGATTATACATTGCCACGGATTGTCATCTCTTCCAGAAGAGATAAAATGCCTTACTTCCCTCAAGGAATTGAAGATTGAAGGTTGTTATGCTCTGATTGAAAGCTACAAAAATGATGAGTCGAAGATTGCTCATGTTCCAGTGGTTCATCTTAATGAATTTTAGTCCCAACTTTCATTTTTATCCGCTTTCAATTTGATTGTATTTTATTGTTTCTAATGCATGGATGATGTTGTATTTTTACTTTTGAATGGTTATGTTTCTTATATTAAGTGTATATTTTTGTGCTTTTTATTAATAAATTTCTAGAGGTTTTTTTTTAAAAAAAAAATAATAATTTGTAATATATCTCCATTCCACGGTACCCTATAAATCTTTATGTTTCAGATATGGGAGAGAGTAGGACAACTAATACATTCTTTTATATTTGTATTTTCTGCCCAAGACTTTCACTAAATACACAGAATCAGAGTAAACGACTTTTCCTCACTATGGTTTAACGACACTTTTTCTCTATATAATTTTTAAGTATCATTTTACTATTCAATTGTGTTAATAACTTCCTTCAAATATAGTAATAATCATTAAGAAGACCAAAATGTCCCTTATTGTTTGACTTAAAAGTAATTTTATTATTAAAATTAAATTATCAATTTATCCCTAATTTTTTTCTCTCTCTTTCGTCTTTCCTTCTCTTCCTCTCTTTCCTCTCTCAGTTGCACCAGCTTTCTCTCTTCCCCTTCTCTTTTCTTTTCTTCGTTCTTTTTCTTTCCTCCCTTCCCTTACTCTTTTTATCTTTCCTCTCTCTCCGGCTTGATTGGTCCGCCGAAAAGTTTCCTTTTCCGACCAAACTAAGTCAAAGACGACTTGACCGAGAGAAGCTTCATCACAGTCTTATTTATTTTTAATTGTGGGTTGAAAGATGGGAGGTGATGATTTTGAGTTGAAAAATTGTGATGAAGACGATGGCGGAGATGGGCGGTGGGCAATGGCGTGAAAAGAAGCGAACTTCATGTCTGAAGAGTGGCGGATTCGGTTTGAAGGTCGATTGATTTAATCTGAAGACGAATCTCTTCAAGGACTTTGGAGATGAATATAGATTCTTTAACTTGGTGTTGGCAAAAGCCCTTGATTAAGTCATCAAGATTGCGCTGGAAAAGGGTGTCCATGATTGAAGTAGAAGCCATTTTAGAGAACTGTTTTTGTTATGGACTGAAGGATTACTGATTACATAGTAAAATAATGATGGTGATGAAGGGATTTGTTTGAATTTGAGGGAGAAATTTCAGTTTGTTTGTTTGGTTTCGTCTGTAAGCAAATGTATGTTTGTTCTAAAAAGAAGAAAACTGGGGCATTTTATTAAAAGACCTAATCAAGATCAAATTTAATTTGAACACCGTGTAGTTTTAAAGTGTTAAGTAAATAGTTTTGTATGCATTTTGTTGTAGTTTTAAAGTGTTAAGTAAATAGTTTTGTATGTATTTTGTTTATTATTTTGGATAAGATTTTGGAGATAGTATTAGATGGTTGAATAGGGTGATTATTACGGGTAAATTTTAAAAAATTTCAAAAAAAACCCTATAAGTTTACTAATTTAACTAAACACCTCAATATATAAAATTTTTGTAAAATGATAAAAACACATACACTCACCCACACAAGCTTCGTCTACAACTAGAGTTGGGCATTTGCGACCAGAACCAAAAGTCCAGTCCCAAAACCCAGTCCTAGAACCGGTCCTTGAGAGGACCGGTCCCAAAACGAGACCAGGCCTAAGGAGGAGGGCCCGGGCCCCTCCACTGGGCCCTCCTCCAAGGCCCAGCCCTGGGCCCATATTTTTTTATATTTTCTCCTTTTAGTCCCCTGTATAATTACATTAAACCCCCTATTAATTTTAAATAAATATAAATTACAAGGGCTAAAAAAATTTTACAAAATTTATTTAAAAAAAAAAAAATTTATTAAAATCTTTCATTTTTTTTACACCAATCAATCTCTCATTCTTTCATTCTCTCAATCTCTCTACTCCAAATCTCCAATCAATTTCTCATTCAATTTATATTTATATTTATATTTATAATTTATTCATAATATTTATTTATATTATTCTATTTTTTTCTATTTTTCAATATCATCATAATTTCATATTATTATTTAATTTCTTTTCATTTTAATTATTTATTATTTTATCATAAATTTATAGTGGCTTCCCCAAATGAGTTTTACATTCCATCCACCGAAAAAATGGAAGGCTTCAATCCATTTTCATTATTTCCTCCAGATGAAGCAGCTGCAATTCCACAACCACATTCAGTCGGGACGAGGTGTAACCAAACACATACGAGCTGCGAGTCAACGGGCACGGGCATAGCCCAACCCCCCCGACCGTCAAAGAGGGTCGTGTCCGATGCATGGCGATACTTCACCAAATCAAAACGGCCAAAGACAAGTGGGGAGGGGGAAGAATCGTGTGGGATATGTAATTTCTATGGAACCATTATTGGCACTGAGAAGAGGACTTCGACGATGCGACGACACGTAGAGAAGAAGCATCCCCAAATAGATGCATCTTCAAGTGAATCAGGTAGACAAATTCAAACTCAACTTAATTTTAATCCACAATCCTCAACTCTCTCAACATGGCAATACAATACACATGTTGCACGAGAGGAAATAGCAAGATATATAGTTGCTACGGACACTCCCATTTGTTCATCTGAAAATCTTTTTTTTGTTAATATGGTTAAAACTGCATTTTGTCTAGCATATGCCCCTGTTAGTAGAAGTACAAGTAGAAGAGATATACTAAAACTTTATAGCAAAATAAATAATAAATTTAAAAACGAATTTCAAAATTTTAGGAATATATATATTGCACTTACATCAGACATATGGGCTTGTAGATCAAAAACCGATTTTTTAACTGTCACAGTACATTTCTTAGATCATAATTGAGGTTTACAAAAAAAAATTGATAGGTTTTAAATCATTATATGAAAAACACAATGCTGAAACTATTTATTTTACAATTCTTGAAGTTTTGCAAGAATATTTATTAACTGATAGAGTTGTAGCGCTAACGCTTGATAATGCAGCTGCTAACACTACGGCAATCTCTTTATTTGAAAAGAGATTGGATCCGCGTGGTGAAGGCAAATTTTTTCACCAGAGATGTGTTTGTCACATCATCAATTTGATAGTTAAAGCAGGTTTAGATGCTATACATTCAAAGATGGAGAGGGTGCGCAGAGCTATCGGATTTATCGTCGGCAATAGTAATAAAAGATGGCAGGAGTACGTCAAATATTGTAAGCAAGAGGAGCTACCGATTCGACCTTTGAAGTTATGTACAGACATGCCTATCCGTTGGAACTCTACCTACTTGATGTTGGAAAAAGCTTTGCCAACCGCGAAATAAATTACAGATTTCGTCAACCGGAAGAACCATCCAGAGGAAGTTGTCAGCTATGATGATTGGGCGGTTTGTAAACTTTTTAATTCATTTCTTAAAATTTTTTATGATGCTACTAATACATTAAGTGGTATTTATTATCCAACTACTAATTTAGTGTTAGATATTTTAGTTCAAATTGCTAAAACTTTTGCTCAATATAGATATGATAACATTTTACGTGAAATTGTTTTATGTATGGAAGAAAAATATAAGAGATATTGGTTAGATATTCCATTCTTATATGGATTAGGCCTCTTTCTAGATCCTAGGTTTAAATTATCCGTAATTAACGGTGTAATTACTGAGTTAGGTTGGCATTTAGGATATGATTATACGTCTTATTTGATTGACTTTAAACACAAATTGGATGGGTTTTTTTTCTTTATATGAGAACATGTACAATGGAAGTGGAAGTGGAAGTGGAACATCTAGGAGAGGCAATCAGGACCTTGATGCAGCCCCCCCTCAAGGATCG